ATAGGCTACTTTTGAATGCGATAGAAGGGTTATAAAGGGTTGAAAGAGTTATGTATTTGAAGTGTCGTCATTTTTGAGGATGAAACGATGAAACTTTTTCATTTGGCTTTTATTGGGTTAGGTCATTAAATATTTCTTTCATTATTTGGTCAAGGTCACTATTTTCGCGGACGAAGTCGCGGGTACAGCTAGTAATAATAATAATCGTTATTTAATTCAGAAGGATCGTTACAGCATTATTTATATATATATATATACATACAATAGGTACACTTTCAAGATAATATCAACCCTGTCAGTATTTCTGTGTGGTCCTGTCTTCTGAACTAGCATTAGCCGTATGATAGAAGTCAGTTCCTTCCAAATACATGAACTTTTATTATACATTGATCAAAACTATTATAACATATAGAAAATTACCCATCTACCCGCTGCTCTTCAGTCTACCCGTGATCATGGTGGTTGAAACACTGCCGAAATATCGGGAACTCAGCAAAAATAAAACGTGGTAAGATCCCGTGATTCTTACTAATTATACGTATAAATAATGACCACGTCAAGTTTAAAACAGTATATAATATACTGTTTTATATATAATATAATGTACTGTTATATATATAATATACTGTTGTATATATCATTTACATAACTTAATTATACAACTACAACCTAAAATTAAAAAGCTTAAAAAATATAATACAATAACTAATATATATTATTAAAAGGGGTCCCTTTAGGCAAAGTTCCGAAGATACTGGCAGCGTTCCCTCTTTGAATAGCTAGACTAATTCTTTGTCCAAGGTAGCTGCCAGCTCTTCGGTCTTCTGTTGTATATTATATAATGATGAACATGATACTTAGGTATATATAAACGATATTTTACCTAAAGATACATATTTAAAGATCAATGTTATAAGAAAAACAAAGATGTTGTAATATAAAATTTGGACTATATTGTGTGTGTTATGTACCAGTATAATAATATAATAATCTCAGGACAATTCACACAGATCCATCTAGACCCAAGTTAAGCTACTAGAGCTTGTGTTATGGGTACTAGATATACTAGGAATCGAACCCGCGACCATCGGTCATAAAGCGGTGTGCTTGACCGCTAGACCACCGAGGTCGTCAAAGTATGATGTACCTATCTGTGTTTATACTTTATGACCAAGATCTTGGATAAATACTGCAATCTAACAACCATTCATCTCCAGAATGAAGCCATGCAAGAATTAGACAGTCGTCAATAGATACATCTTATCACTCCCAAAACCTACAAGAGTACAGTTAAGATGTGACAGAGAGGATTTTGAGGCTATACAAGGCAGTTACCTCGTTATCATACCTATTAATTGCCTACTACGCAATGAAGAATTCACCATCATTAATAGTAACATGTAATAAAAGGAAAACATATGAAAATTGAAAGTTTATATTTAAATAAATTTAGTTTTTTTTAAGTCCTAAGGCTCCGATTTACGTAACTTGTATGTATGATGGATATATAGGTGAGTGTGTATGTATGCTTTTATTAGGTGTATCTATTAGTTTTTAATAATAAATTATATGTAAAGTACGTTTATTAATTCCAGTCAGTAAAATGACAAGTGCATCTGTCACTGATACAAAAAAAGGTGACCCGCTACAATAGTGATGTTCGACAAATCAATAGACTTAGACATTTAGTCATGTTTTATTTTATTAGGTATCGAAGACTTTTTTTTTATTTTTAATATTTAATACATATAGTATTAAATAATCAGATTTTAGAAATATAGACCTTACCAGCATATTAAAATTTCTCACTATAAAATTATTATAAAAGCTGGGAAAAAACGTAAAAAGAGATTCAGAGAAATTAATACTAGAATTTTTATTCTAAGGCAATTTGATATTGAATAAAAAATATGTAATCTCGACTAACTTTGAATTGTAAAAACTCGATTATACCACATCACTATTTATTTGGAACTAAAAACCTGAAACACTGGAAATGTCATTTTAATGACTGGAATTAATAATCTTACTTTAGGTATGTTATTCTGTAAGGTATTTATAATATGGGCCTGGTTGCCAGAAATATATGAATATGTAAATAAATGAATAAATATTGATGGCAACCTATTCTCAAACCTACCGAGTATATATTAGGTAGATATATACATTTTTAGCGGCTAAGATGGGGCCGCTATTATTTATGATTATGTGTTCATGTAGAAGCAGCATCAGGAAAGAAAGAGGTGAAGAGAAACCAGTCGTGACTATTTACATATTTATAATATAGAAGTGTGGCGAATTAATTATAATCGCGCGGCAACACCGTTGCCTAGTTACGACAGAAGAATAAAATAACAGGCCTGTCATTCGAGACCGAATCACTTTCTTGTACATACCTATATATTCATTGTAAATATTTCGTAATTATAAATATGTACATAGCAACAATCTGGACTCATCATTTCACCTCCTTCTTTCCCGCTGCTGCTACAAGAACACAACATAAACACAAATAATAGCGGTAACAATAAAGACGCTAAAGAAGTAATTACAATTAGTATATGTACAAGAAGGCGATTCGGTCTCGAATGACAGACCTGTTATTTTATTGCTCTGTCGTAGCTAGGCAACAGTGTTGCCGTGCACTATCCGTAAATCGCCACACCATGGTAAAGCACGTTTATTGTATAAAAGGGTGGCAAATTGAGATCACACAAATTTATAGTAGGTATCGATTTAAGTAAGTAGGTACTTAGTGGGTAGGTATGTCTGTACATAATTAGGTACTAAAGTGCTTGTACTATAGTGGTTTACCAATACGTGAAATGTTGATGATCTGGTTTAGGTACCTAGTAGAGGTACCAAAGTGTGCCTTGAAACTTGAAACTTTTTTTTATGGATGAGAATGGAATGGAGCAGCCGCCGGTAACGGTTTACTATGACTATTATGACTATTCAAAAGTGCTTAAATTAAGTTTATTTGAATGAATGATTTTTTATTCTATTCTATTCTATTTTACTAATATTAAATTTAAGATGTTGGTCATGTGGAGATGTTCTCGAACTCCATATGAGTGTGGGGAATGTGGACTGATGAGCTCATTTTTTTTTATGATAATGGAATGGTGTTCCCGCCTGCGCTAACGGTTTACGCTGGCAGGCCACTAGTGGAGGATGATAAGATGAACATGAGGTCAGATCAGTCAGCCCATCGTGACAAATTCACCAGGAATTTATCGCGATGGTTTCCAGTGGGAACCGCGTGGAGATCAACCTGACATGGTACATTGCTAGCAATAAGATCCTCAATCCACATTACTAACAATCCCTTTTCCCCCGGTACTTAGGTAGTGGGTAGGTAGGTATGAATAGAATAGAATAGAAAATCATTTATTCAAATAAACTTAATTTAAGCACTTTTGAATAGTCATAACAATTTGTTTTTTATCTACCACTCGTTCGGAAAGCTGTCTCATCACAAGAAGAACGAGCAAGAAACTTGTGTGTTGCTCTTGACTGTACATAATTACAAAAGTAGGTAATACAGGAGTTTACAGATACCTACGTGAAATTATTGATGATCTGGAATAGGTACCTACCTACCTAGACACCAAAGTGATGTCTGAGCATATTTTTTTAACTCTTAGCTTCTGCGTTTGCGCTTTCGGATTACGCTCGCTTTAGCGTAGTATGTGAAATGTTTGATTTTAAGACGAGTGATTGGATTTGGGATGTTGTTATTTTTTAGATGATTATATATTAGGAGATGGATTATTTACACTCATGAAATTGCGGTTCTTGGTATGTATCCTTTTTTTTTGCTATTTTTTAAATTTATTTTTTTATTTTTTAAGGTTTTTTTTTGTGTGATTATAAATTAATGAATTATTCGTGATTGCCGGTATGTATCCTTTTCTTTTTATTGTTATATACAGTTTTAATTTACAGTTTATTTTTATATATAGAATATATATAAATTTTTTGATACTTTTACAAGATAACTACATGTTACGTTTGATTGTATTGTTTAAGATTACGTATGATATATTTTTAGTTGTTTCTTTTTTGATATTTTTTTGGAAATCATATGGATCAGAAAGTGATGTTGTGAAACTATTACGTAGTGGCTATCTTTTTTCGAGTAGCTACTATGGCGATCTCTGGTCATATCTCCCGGATACTCCGGGGGAAATTGCCAGTCGAATTTTTTTAATTAAGTTTACATGTATTTCTATTATTTTTAGGTGATTTTGCGTTAATGATTGATAATAGTTGGGGGTAAAATTGGGGGGGGAAGGGGATTGTTAGTTATGTGGAGGCGACCCCATTAATAACAAGGTTGATTTCCACCCGGTACTCCCTGAAAACCATTGTAATAAATTCTTGGTGAATTCATCACCATGGGAACTGACCTGACCTCATGTTCATATCATCCTCCACTGGTGCCCCGCCAACGTAACCAGTTAGCGCATGCGGGTGCACCATTCCATTATCATAAAAAAAAAATAGTTTTAATTAAAGTATAGTTTTCCATGTGATTTAGTTATGTATTAATTATAATTCCTTCACAAGGGAACACTAAATTTAGTAGAGCCATCTCCCTCGAAATTACCCTACAAATTTTACAACTAACAATATTATTTTTTCAAAAATCTAAATATATACAACTCAAAGGTGATATAGTGATCTATCAACGCACGGCCCAAACCACTGAACGAATCGGGCTGAAATTTGGCATACAGGTAGATGTTATGACGTAGGCATCCGCTAAAAAAGGATTTTGATTAATTCTGCACCCAAGGGGATAAAATATGGGATGAAAGTTTGTATGAAACTTTGTCAATTTTAAACCGATCGGACTGAGAGTTTGCATGCATAAAGCTACTATGACGTAGGCATCACCTAAGAAAGGATTTTCATAAATTCACCCCTAAGGGGATAAATTAACCCGACCGAAGCGTGCAAAAGCTAGTAGATAATAAAAATTACAGATAACCAACCTGCTTTCCACCGACCTCAATGCTCTGTATCCATCACTTTAAAAACAAAACTAATTTATGGTCAACTGCCACTAAATGAACATCGGCACTCGCGAAAACCGAATTCGGCCAAGATGGCCGTTCGCGGTTCCAAATTCAAAATTGGTGTGACGTTGGAAAGGCGCGCGAAGTGGCCCCGTCCCCCCCGCCGCCCCCGACCGCCCGGCACTCGCAGCCCAAAGGGCGGTCGTGGGCTTCAATAATTCACCATTTGGACCAACAGCAGGCAGCCGTCGCCCCTCCCTCTCGCGATTACACATTTAAAATCTTGCCGTCTCGCTCTGTGATGCTGCGCATTTCTGTCCACGTATAGTGCGTTTCGCTCGCTCGTGTGCAGTTACTAATCGTCCGTCCCTTTCACAATCATTAGGCGGGTCTTGTGGCGTGTATTATGCAGTATGTTTGTCGAAGATTTTATGAGGTTTGCGCAGTCTTGCACAGAGTAACACGCCGAATAGAGACTTTATATTTATAAAATAGATGTTTTATGTATCTATTTATTAAACATAGGCATGTTTATATTGGTAAATACCTTCCAAATATGCATTCAAGGGATAGGTTGTAATAATAGGGCCTAGGGATCTATTGCTGTCTTTTTTAAATGATGATAATAATTCGTTTTTTTTACAAACTTTACGAAAAAAGTAAGCATATCTGTCTGCTAACTCCATACAATTTTGTACGCACCAACGCAGGACGAAAGGATATCAGTCAGTGGATACAGTCAGTTCAGTTAGCACATTTTGGTGCATTCATTAGGAATCAACAATGATCTGTTTTTTTTTAAATGATGATAATGATTTGATAGTAAGTATGTAGATATATGTAAAATGTGAATACGATAACTATCAGATGGCAATTGTACGTAGCTATGACGTGGTCTAGTGTTTTGAGTAGTCATGCTCACTAAAATGTCCAGACATGTGGCGGCGTGGTGGGCCGGGTCATTGGGCTTCCTAAAATATGGTCGAGCGCAGTGATGGCTGGCTCATCTGTCATACTCGTGAACGGGTGCTGCTTGTAGGGACTGGTCTGCTCTAATCACTATGACTGATTTCCTCTTATTAATTGTTTAACCAGTTGGTTGTATATTCAATATTTTTTCTATTTGAGTATTTAATTGAATTAGTGCTAATTGGTAGTTTGTATTCACACACTTCAACTTAGAAATGTAAAGTAACAATAAAATTAATTAAAAGAGCAACACGCAAGTTTCTTGCTCGTTCTTATTGTGATGAGACAGCTTTCCGAATGAGCGGTAGATTAAAAAAAATGTGATGACAAATCAAAAGTGCTTCAATGTAAGTTTATTTGAATAAATGATTTTCTATACTATTCTATAGTTTTCTTTACGGACTTTACGAAAGGTGCACCGGTCTGTGCTAGTTGTATACAGTTTGGTACGATGACAGGGTACCAATGGAGGATGAAAGGATGGGCATAAAATCAGGTCAGTTAGAACATTTTGGTGTATTTATTAGGAATCTACAATGATTTATTTTTTTTAAATGATGATAATGATTTGATAGTTTTCTTTACGGACTTTACGTAAAGAGAAGGTGCACCGGTCTGCGTTAGATCAAGGTATACCTACAGTTTGGTACGTTGACAGGACACCAATTGAGGATGAAAAGATGGATTCATTAGGAATAAACAAAGATCGCTCACAATTTTATTTTTAGCTAAAATATTCATACATTCATATGAATGCTATTATTTTCACTTTATTTTGTATCGTCCTTATGTTCATACATCAAAGAACTTCTATAAGTATACTGTTATAATACCAGGACGATACAAAATAAAGTGCAAACAATAGCAAGTAAATAGCTACCTCCCAATAATACTCATCAAAACGGCAAAACCAAAGGCCTGAGCAAAAAACGGGGCACCAATGGAGGGTGATAGGATGAGCATAAAGCCAGGTCAGTTAGCATATTGCGGTGAATTCATTAGGAATCAACAATGATGGTTCACGGCTGGCACTTTGCTGTCTTTCCATGTTATTTAGGTAGTTACCTGTAGTGTATGTGGAAACACTAGCAGTTTATTATCTATCGTCTCGAGCCGAGCGTACACGGGCCGTGCGCAAGAGAGGAGGGATTCCTTGCGTAAGCGCCGTGGAGTAAAGACGTGGAGCTGTGGCTAACGAGCCGATATTATGTCGATAACAACTTACATACCAGGAGATACAAGAAGACATAAATAGCAAATAATTGAATACTATATGTAAGAAGCACTAATTATGATGGACGACTGAGGCTTTGAAGCCGGCTACCGCAAGGGAAACCCCAAGTAGCGCCCGTGACTTGTGACACGGGTGTAGGTTTAAAAGTCCCTTTTAGAATGCATTAACACTCACCTTCACTACTTGCAGCTTCCCCCCAGGCCCAACTAAGACCGAGATAAACCCATTGCTAATACAATTCACTTTAATATCCAAAACACAGCTGGCACACTCTGCGCTCGTCGACTGAATGCCGCGGCTCACGCAACGAAAGAGGATTATTCAAATACCGACCTCCGTATTTATAGACCAAAGTCAGTGTAGTAGGTTGGTCTATAAATACTAGATGGCGCTATTTACAATATTCGTAGTAATCCTTACTTTGGGTACTTCATTAGTACTAAAAACAAACTACCTTCTTTTAATATATTTTTTAAATATCGGATTATACAATAATGATGTGAATTCTAACATATAATATCTACTGGGGAAAATAGTGTCCAAATTTTAGGAATAACTAGATATACTAGTGCTACCACTCTGCGCTTCCCATTGGAAACCATTCAGGCAAATTTAAAACAAAAATTAGGTATTTAAAAGAGCAACACACAAAGAGGTTAAAGAGTAATCGTCTATCGTGGTATGGGCATGTAATGCGTAGGAATGAAGATCATATCCTAAGGACGGTGTTACATATGAATGTGGAACTAAAAAATGGAAGACCGAACAAGAGATGGATGGACTGTGTGAAAGATGATATGGTGAGAAAGGGAGTAAATAACGGGATGACTGCGAACAGAGATGAATGCAAGAGAAAAACAATACGCCGACCACAAATAAATAGGATAAGGAAGAAGCAGATGATGATGACACAAATTTCTTCTTCGGTTTTCTTATGATGAGGCAGCTTTCCGAATAAGCGGTAGATTAAATATAAGAATAACAAAGTAGGTATTAAAAATTGCCTAAATTTAAGTATATTTACCTTAAATATAAAATGCAGATAGGTCGATACTTATTGCATTTTTTATTTCAAATGCAAAAACAAGAAGGTATGTTCCCATTATGGTTTCTTAAGGGTCGACAATATGCACGTTACACTCCCGGTGTCTCAAGCGTCCATAGGCTATATTTACCATCAGACGGGCCGTATGCTTGTTTGCCACCATCGTAGTATTAAAAAGGTCGCGTCGTGGCTCTTGAAAAGTCGTATAATTTCCCCTCTACTATCATCACCGATATCGTTACAGACTCTATACCTTATAAGTCTTGCCTTATTATCTGGCATTGCCTCTTTTTTTGGTCAAAACTTCCCTTCAACATCGCAGCCCGGAAGACGTCCACTGCTGGACATGGGCCTCCCCCAAAGATCTCCACGACGATCGGTCCTGCGCTGCTCGCATCCAACGCCTTCCAGCGATCTTGACTAGATCGTCGGTCCACCTTGCTGGAGCCCTTCCCACGCTGCGTCTTCCGGTCCGCGGTCGCTCAAGGACTTTACTGCCCCAACGGCCATCTGTCCTACGAGCTATGTGCCCTTAAATTGTACATTTTTAAGAAAATACCCACCGTTAAGAAATCTGTATTCAGACGAACATTGTCCTTATTTCATTTGATACTTCTATCCGTTTGAAATTCAAAAACGTTTTTTAGATCGATTCATTTACTGCAGTCGCCTACAGTTCCTTTTGCTAATAGGGAAAGGGTATTGTTAATGTGGATTAACCCTAGCAATGTATTATGTTAGGTTGATCTCCACGTGGTTCCCCCTGGAAACCATCGCGATAAATTCTCGGTGAATATACCACGATGGGCTAACTGACCCGACCTCATGCTCATCTTCTCATCCTCCACTGGTGCCCCGCCAGCGTAAACCGTTAGTGCAGGCGGGTGCATTATCACATAATCATCCGTAAAAAATACCTATTTCGACGGTGTTATGGCCACTCTACATTTCTTGTTCTCATTACCCAGAACTTGTGTCCAGTTATTTTTATCCCCTCAAATTTGGAAGGATATTCATCATTTCGCATCACTATATCTTATGAATAAGTACATAAGCCAGGCCATTCAAAGAGGCAACGCTGCCAGTATCTTGGGTACGCTGCCTCTATGTGCCGCGTTGGATTACAATGATTGTTTTTTGTAATTGTTTGTATTGAATTATGAAATAAATAATACACAATATTTGTGTCGGAACAATTATAAAAAAAAAAGTACATAAGTACTTACATAAATAAATAATTACAATCCTGCATACCATCACACAATCCTGCATACCACACACAGCGCCATCTAGTTCCGTAGTCCCAAATTAAACCAATTTAGCACAAGCTTGCTTAGCAAGCAGCGAGTACTTGCTATTGGTATTAAATATCTAATACGAGTATGCTTAAGATATGAAGGAACTCCGCTGTGCAAGACGCTGCTTTTGTACCACAAGGATTAACATTTACGACCAGGCGGGCCGTCAGCTTATTTGTCACTCTAATTACCTATATACATGAATGTGAAGAGAGAGGGCTTCCGATTTTCTTCATTTTACTTAATACTTAAGTAAGTACGTATAATAGATCTAAGTACATGAATAAAGTGGGTAGGTTATATATACTTATATTTATTTAAATTGACTTGATTTTGTTTTAATCCTTATTGGAATGAATTTAAAAAGAGAGAGAGCTCTTCTCAGATTTTCTTCATTTTACTTAATACTTAGTAGGTGTTGATGGCTTCAGCAGATTACGGGGTGAATAAATGATAGAATTCGCTTGATTTTCTTGAATTTAATTGGCAAATACAATTACAAATTAGGATGAATGAACAAATTCTACGTTAGATCGATCGGTTGATTTTTGAAGTCTGTACGTTACGTTGCGTATTTTCAGCCATGTTGCCAACCATATATATATAAATAATATGACTTTTTTTGTAATTGTTCGAAGTGTGTATGTATGTATGTGTATATGTATATGTGTGTGTGTGTGTGCATATGTATATATATATATATTTTTTTATATATGTAAAATGTACCTTTGTCAAATGTGTAAATGTCAGTAAATGTTTTTGTTTTCTTTTATTTAAATTGGATGGGTGTGCGCTCCAATCAGAACGCTCCCTCTGCGTTGCGTTTTGTTGCTGCTTGTAAGGGACAGTAATAAATCTGCTTACGTAATACTTGAACGGCCCCCAGTCTATTTTTTTAGGGTTGTATCTTATAACAATATCAATAAAACAACATGTAGTAGTTTAAACCAACTTTATTTTTAGCTAAAATATAATAATTCATACATCAAAGAAGTTCTATAAGTATACTGTTATAATACCAGGACGATACAAAATAAAGTGAAAATAATAGCAAGTAAATAGCTACCTCACAATAATACTCATCAAAACGGCAAAACCAAACGCCTGCTTTGTGCCAAATTTGTGCCACGTCCGTTTGCAAACGGGTAATAGACAATAAAAATTATAAAACGTGGATAAATAGAAATGGACGGCTGTCGAGTGAACGAATCATAACGATCAAACAATAAAAAAAACTTAATAACAGCGAGTTCGTGTTCAGGGGCCGGCCGAAGATTTATTCGTTGTCAAAACAAACTACAAATGAAAACTACATCGTTTACAGAACAGCAAAGAAATGTAGAGTTACTTCCTAAACACATAACTCATTTACATTCGCGCGTGGGACATAGACAACGGCCATACTGCCAAACTTGGGCAGTATAACGTTACGTCGCTTTGATTGACAGAATGACAGCTGTCAGTCACCGCGTGGGGACACAGACAACGGCCATACTGCCAAATTTGGGCTGTGTTACGTTACGTTGCTTCGATTGACAGAATGACAGCTGTCAGTCACGAGCACAGATAATACATTTGTGCAACGACCGACAGAGGGCTGACAGCGAGAGTGACGGAAACGAACAAACACGAGACGTCAACTAGACGAATACATCAATGATTATGTCCACAACGATTGCTTAATGATTGTACAGTCGGTGAATCACACATACTCTATACTAATATGGCAAACGATCCATGATATGCAACCTCTCGACGGAGATGGCGATATGCGTCCGCGCGGGTGCGAGCGAGACACACCGCCACCCTCAAGATGACGGCCGACAGATGAAATAAACCTAACTAACGCCTACGGCTGATTGTGCTCGCGGCTTTTGCCTTAACCTAGTTGTTAGTAAAAATTCCTTAACGCATTCAAAATATATATATAATAATATAGTTTATATAGTAACTGATCCTAGACATACCATCTGTATAATGTGTATAATTATCGTACATTTATATCATTTTCCAAATAACTCTGTGCCTAATATACATTTAAGCCGATTTTAGAAGCTCGTAAGGGAGAAGTGTTTGGACATATTCTGCCGGTACAATATTAATTTATATTGTACTGAAACAAATAAATGCTTTCAAATGCTCTATTTGTACTCAACTCAAAACTGTACGTTAATTTGGCGCCAAAAGTAGCATAGACAAATACTACAGACCAAATATAATTTATTGTAGATGGCGCCACGTAACTATAGGCGCCAAAAGAATAGATAAAATCCATAGATAAAATAGACGTTAATTTTTCGTGGATGGCGCCACGTTGTCGGTAATATTTGCTTTATGAATGTGTTCAGCGAGTGGAGTGCCACAGAAGCTATATGTCACTTTAGTGTTCAATATACATCATATCTGACGCTTAAACTATCTTAAGATTACCGTTTCCATACGAAATTACAACAAGAACTACTGTCATTTCTTACATACAGTAATATTACAAACGAATAGAAAAGAGTCAAGAGCGATCCCTATAAGAACAACGAGAGTATCGTTCTACGAAAGCAAGCGAGGACGAAAAATAAACATTTACGTATAAAGTTTTTGATATGATCAATTTTGAGACCTTAATCTAGAAATAAAATTGGCCCCGACCCACGATGATCCCTGGTATAAACTGAAAATATAATATGTCATATCATCTTGTTATTCGATATTGGACATTATCGAATTATCATAGAGTACAATTTCGTTCAAAAAACCAATGTACTTTAGTGACGCGCCACTGTTTTAATTCTCATAACTATGTTTCAATGAACCTTCTTTATAATTATTTTAATCAATAATTTAAAGTTAGTACCGACTTCATAAACTAGATGGAGTTATTAGTCACTATAGTGAAATTGCTTTTGCTTTTTTGTTATTTTTATTTAGATACCAGAGATCGTCCGGAGTGTCCGGGGCGTCCGGACAGGCGTCGTGCCGTATGCTGTGCGAGCATAGCCCACGACGGCGGCTGCATAAATCAATTCCTTATCACGAATATCTACTGACACGCCGCAATGTGTACTCTATACGTATACCATTAAGGTCGAAAATGCTGTACATTCATGATGATGAGGTGTGATATTGCGGAGTTTCAATTCCATATAACAAGACCATTCTTCAGTCTATATTTTATTATTCATGATAACAATGATAAATATTTATTTTAGGGTAATTAAATGAGTTTTTTATAATGTTGCATTTACGCATAGACAATAATATATATAATGATTTACTTATGTCTTAAATAAATGTTGCATTATCGTAAACCGATTCGAAACTATCATTTAATATGGAATGGGGTAGAAAACACTGGATTGGACAAAACCCCTTTAATATTAATAACCCTATCTATTGGGTTATCCTTTCGACATGGGTAATCTTATACATTTAAATTCGAGCCGTGAACATTGCATGTAAATATGTTGAGATAGGCGTAACTATTTCTTAATGCAATAAAATGCACTGCGTTGCATCTTAAGTTGCAATTTGCAACAAAATGAATATATTTGAAGTAAATATAGTTTCTTATAATCGGTACAATTCTATAATTATATAGGTGCATTTAAAGTTACACATAAAAATATGCAATTTATATAAATATTTTAGAGTAACATTGAAGCGTGTCAGGTGAATAGCAATATGTTGGGGTTTATGGGGGCGCGAGAGGGAGTTGCGTGGGCAGAAGGGTGGGGGATGGGATAGTGGAGGTGCGTTAAGTACAGTCCGCGACTGCGCGCACGCATTACATCGTGCTGTTGTCCCACTCCAATTGACTGATGTTCCTGTACTTATGTTGTTTGCCTGGCATCACTGCAACGAAAATAATATAATAAGTATCGGCAAAATGAATACCAAAAAAGTCTGCTGCTGCAAAATACATACATATTATACATAGAAAATACCCAGACCGATACAAACAATCATACTCATGAATACAAATTTTTGTGCCGTGCCAAGAATCGGACCCGCGACCATCGGACGTAAAGCGGTGTGCTAGACCACCGAGGTCGTCGAGATAAATAAATTCGGTAAGTAAGATCAGCCGTTTGTCTGTTACTTGTAACGTTCAAACAAATTTTCATTAATTCACAAAAAAAACCATAGTAAAAAAACTGTCTAATGTCTACTGCTAATTTACAGTTTAGTGTTCATTCCACACCGGCGCCCCCGGGCGCCCCTCCGATCGATCCCCCGTCCAATTCAAACGGGGATCGAAATTACGACGGCCTGAGCCGAGGTTCGAACTCCTAGTGGTGCCTTCAGACTAAAGTCGTATCCGACAGACAGGAGTTGGCCTTCAGCCGCTCCATAAGTCCTTCCTTTGGTTTGGAGTGCCATCAGCACTCGCCCCCTAACGTCCAGTGAAGCTGTAAAGGCCAGCTGCGGCCAACAGCATTAGAGTAGTCCGAAAAAAAAAGTGTTCATTATTGACATGTTACACATTTTCATAAATGTGATATCTGGACTTTTCTTTTATTCTATTTCTCCTATTTAATATTTTATTTGTATTAATACATGTACCACATGAGTTCCTAAGCGGTTATTCGAGGACAGGGGGTGTAGGTACTTACCATCGTCCTCGTCGTCAGAGGAGTCGTGATGGTCAGAGTCGGAGTCGGAGCAGGAGTCGGCGTCCGAGCTGTCCGGTGCACACACTGTGGCGTCCGGCCGGCTCACTCCGCCTTCACCGCTCGCGGACTGTCCGACACAACCGGACACGGGTCAGTGTATTCAAGTAATATTCTATTCAGAATGGTTTGGTTGAACTAATAAATAAATAAATACCCTTGGTATTTGGAATTAAGTGGAACTATAGTTCCACTTAATTCCAAATATATAAACGCATGTAAGTACAAGATGATAAGGATGCTACAAGGATATGACTGACTGGTTGGTTATTTTTTACATTTTTTTTTGTTACAACATACAAATTATAATATAGGTGAAAGTATTGTAAAGAAAGAAAGAAAAATATTTTATACAGTGCAATGTAAAAAATACAATATTAACAAACGAAAAAAAAAAAAGAGTAAATAAAATGTACATATAATTAAACTTAATTTACCATGTAGATAATTAAAAATAAACATAAAATAATTATTTTTTACATCCAAAAATGCACTGAAATGGCTCCACTCAGCTTTAATGTATGTCCTATCTATACTTTACATGGCTAGATCACCGAGGTCGCTGAAATACAGTATCGTATTGCGAAAAATTTACAATGTTATAAACGAACCTACACTAATACACATTGACATGTACATAATGTACGGTATCTCTATATCCTTGCGATAATGAAATAAGTGATATAATGGTGAACTTATGTCAGAATATAGTATTTCACAATTTATCATTTCGAATTATGTATATTCTCTAGTTGATTAATAACCTATATTGTAATACCCCATAGAATAAGGGTTTTACCGTATACCCTATACGGTAAAACCCTTATTCTATGGGGTTAACCCCAAAAGTATATTTAAATTTGGAATGTCAAAATACTTTATTAATAGAAACATAGGTATACATTGGTTATCATTTTAGAATGTAACGTTCCATTATGTTTTGCCTTATTAGGTATGCAACATTTTGAATTATTTAAACTTTTACTTCATTATTCAAAATGTTATGTCATTTGGAATGCCCCTATACGCGTACGGATATTGCAATCTGCTGTGTGAACGTGTCGTAACCACAATGCTCACCTCATCCATGGGATTGACGGTGATGGTGAGGGCGGAGTCGTCCCAGGCCATCTCTGCGTCTGCGGGCGGCAGGCGGCGCGGGGCGGGCGCGCGGGGGGTGCGCGGCGCGCGGGGGGCGCGGGGCCGGCCACGTGCGCGCGCCGCGCCCACCGCCGCCAGCACCACCACCGCCCCGCACGACACCACGCCGATCACCAGCGCCACGTGGTCTGCAACCGGGTCACACTATACTACTAAAATTGGGCTTCAGCCGTTTTATAAGTGCATCCGTGAATTTCTAGTGTCATCTACACTTGCTGCACCGAACGATATGAGCGCTGCGCGTGCGCCGCGAACATATACACAGACATACACACATGGAGTATAGAGAGCGTATACTGACTGGTGGGCGGCGAGTCCGGGTGCAGGTCGAGCACGCGCGGCTGCGGCACGTCGGCGGCGTGCTGCGAGCGCTGCGCGTGCGCCGCGAACACGCGCGGGGACAGCGCGCGCGCCGCCGCGCCGCGTGGAGGTCCGCCCGCGCCCTCCGCGCCCCGAGAGTGCTCCTCCTGTATCATAACGCCGCAATCATCAGTTCATAAAATATCTGACGCCACAGATATTGATTGTCGCATGCCTTATCCTTGTTAATGTGTATTTACTTATACGACATTTATTTAAAGCAAGTTTCTTTCCCATTCTTTATACGATGAGACTACGTTTAGAATGAGTGGTAGAATAAAAAAATATAACTGTTCAAAATAATATGCACTTTATGACAATATTATAAACAAGTATTGACTGATGTATGATCATACTTAATTTAATAACTACAATGTCGATTTTGTTTTTGTAATTAATATTTCATATAACCATTCTTCTAGTGTTAGCCTTTTATAGGGTTAATTTTGAAAACCCTAAATAACCCTTATTCCAATAAAATATATTTCAAAATTTTATTACAGTTATTTTATGTTAAATTAATTAAGAACAGTGGGAAGAACGCATTGTTGTCAAAAACTTTTGATTTTAGCCTTATGTAGGATTACTTTTTAAAAACCCTTAATAACCCTTATTCTAATAAAATATATTTCAAAATTTTATTACAGTTATTTTATGTTAAATTAATTAAGAACAGTGGGAAGAACGCATTGTTGTCAAAAACTTTTGATTTTAGCCTTATGTAGGATTACTTTTTAAAAACCCTTAATAACCCTTATTCTAATAAAATATATTTCAACATTTTATTATTTGTTCTACGTTACATTAACCAAGAACAGTTGGTTCTTTTAGTTTTTAGTTCGTTAGCTATTGTTGATTGTTCTGAAAATCTTTATTGATTTTAGGCATTTTTAGTATTAGTTTTTCAAAACCCTTTAGAAATATGAATAACCCTAATCCAAGTATTATTTTTAATACTTTTAATTACAGACGCGCTACGTTAATTTTAAGCAAGTGCAATGCTTTTAATTTTTTAGGGTATCGTTTTTAAAACCCTTTAGAAATATGAATAACCCATATTCAAATAATATCAATTTTAAACGCTTACAGATGCGCTATGTTAATTTTAAGCAAGTACAATGGGTTTTAAACGTGACTTAAACTTTGACAAGATTTTATTTAAGAACTTTGACAATCTAACGGTTACCTGTTTGTCTCTGGCGACGGCGTCCATCTTGTCGGCCATACCGCTGGGGTTCAGTTCGCGCGCAAGTGGCTCACCACCAGACATGTGCGGGTGTACCACCGTCAACTGCCAATCATATTATCAATTAACAATAACTAGTATAGTCATTATTACGACGCGATCGTAATATATGGCCGTCCATATTTTGCTGAGTATATTTGAATGAATGAATGAGTGAAAAATTCTTTATCGTTCACCTCACAGAATATATATACAAACATTTATATACACTATCATTACATAGTATAAAACAAAGTCGCGGTCGCTGTCTGTCCGTCCCTATGTATGCTTAAAACTTAACTATATATAACAATTGGTACGTACCGTCTGCACGTATTCATTGCTGGTGAAGCGGCCGTTGAGCTCGGAGCAGGTGAGTTTGAACACACGGTTCAGGTAGTAAGCCGGCTTCTTGTTGCTGTATTCGATTTCGCGTAGCACCTGGAACAGAACAATAGTACAATTAAGAAATATATTTACAACGACCATTTAAGGGCCATGTTTAAGATAGTTAAGATGCAAGTAATTTTAGTTCACTTCGTGCAAACTAGATGGTGCCACAGATTAATGTAAATTGCGCTGTTTTTGGTTTTAATGACATTCCTGTAGTATTTTTTTTTATAAAAAACCTTTTATCCTTATTAAATGGTTAATTCTGTTGGAAATAGTTAATTAAAGTTAAATAATAATTAATAAAGTGAAACACAGAGTGTGATGGGCATTATCTGACATCCGACAGATAACGAAATGTCTACATTTGTGCTTGAGGGTTTCAATTGAAACAACAATTTATGGACAGATCAACAGAAAACACTTCAATAACGTTATTTATATATTCGTGTAGCGCCATCAGTTTGAACAAAATAAACTAAAATTATCTATTATATATATTATACAGTTTGTTATTTTTTTTCAACCCGGTTACATTTTTTGTAAAATAGTCTGTGTCTCACACATTCTCTTTCTTTAGTGTTTAGTTCTCTGGAATGACAACGTATGATTGATACCACGGATGTCACATTAAGTCGTGATGTCCGTGTTCATTTTCGTGTGGTCTGTGTTGCTAGTTCTGTATACAGGCGACGGTTATCACCTACCATCAGATAACCAGCAAGCAATATTTATTATTACTTTAAAATTTAGATTTTGAAAAATCGTTAAATGTTTTATATGCGGTTCCCACATTCCCTCAAATTTCCGTTTCCATTACATTGTCCGTCAGCGTGCCTGTCATTCGAGTAACAAACAAGTGAAGTAGAGTAGGTAAAGTAAAAACAAGGCGGGAGCGCGGGATGTGCTCTTCGATGTGGTGAATTTCGGAGGGTCTTCCGGATAGGGGGTTCCTTGTGTGGAGAATTTTTGACACTTGGGGATTGTGTGTTCCGATGTGTCGTGGTTTTTCTATGCAGCGAGATCTTCTGTTCGGGAGACTAATTGGGGTCTCCCATAGTGGGGGCGTGTCCCGCGCTCTCTTTAGGAATTATTAAGGAACTCGAGAACGTTTTATGCACCGAACTATTGAGAAACTCAGAAATAGTTTTTGCACTGTACTACATTATCTCAACAATTCAAGACATAAAGAAAATTAAGAACATCAAAAAAATGCACATATGGTTGTATGGGTTCCCTTTGCCTTTCCATTAAAGGATAAATAGAACTAAAAAAAATAATTGAAGTAGGCCAGTGCTTTAGTTACCGTCTGGTAGTTGGTCACGGAGTCTGCGCCGGAGAGGATGACACCGTCGCGCGTGACGGCGGCGCGGATGTCGTACCGGCGCGGCAGGCCGGCAGCGTCCGGCAGCGACAGCGCCTCGTGGTCCGGGTTCAGCGCCGGGTACACCGACACCACGCACGAGTCCAGCCGCCCGGCGCCCGCGCCCACCGATACGTCCGGGAACACGCGCAGCCCGCCGCGGAACGTCGCGTAGTCGCGCGCCAAGTCTGCCGTGCCGTTCAGCAGCACGCTTGGGACCTGTGCATTCAACTTTGGCTGTATAATGATGTTTCTCCGTTGTGTTTTTGGCGAAATACCCTAAAATTGGAGTTAATAGTATACAAAAGTAGATGGTCAGATTATATGTCACAATCGTTTGGATATTATAAATAGAGGGTACAGTTCAATGCTTTCCAATGGCTGCAGTTTCCAATGGCTACGAGTTCGAAGTCACTGACCTGCGGCTGCAGCACCATGACGTAGGAGTCGGCGGGGCGCGCGCGCAGCACGCGGCCGTTGTCGCAGGTGACGGTGGTGGCCACGTGCACGTCGCGGGGGGCGGGGGTCACTGACCTGCGGCTGCAGCACCATGACGTAGGAGTCGGCGGGGCGCGCGCGCAGCACGCGGCCGTTGTCGCAGGTGACGGTGGTGGCCACGTGCACGTCGCGGGGGGCGGGGGTCACTGACCTGCGGCTGCAGCACCATGACGTAGGAGTCGGCGGGGCGCGCGCGCAGCACGCGGCCGTTGTCGCAGGTGACGGTGGTGGCCACGTGCACGTTGCGGCGGCCGGGCGTGGGCGCGGCGCGCGCGTCCGCGTAGGCCACGCGCCGCAGCAGCGTCTCCACGTCGGCGACGCCGTCCCCCTCCACGGAGACGGCCCGCAGGTAGAGCGCGGGCGCCAGCTGCAGCCCCTCGCGGCACCGCGCCACGCAGCGCAGCGCGCCGGCCGGCTGCGGCGCGTGCGCCACACCCAGCCCCGCCAGCCACCCGTGCAGGTGGTGCTTCATGTCGCTCTCCGTGCCTGCGGACGCATCACCTCAGTTCACACCTACGCTCTTTCGAGCAGTGTGCGAGTGTAAGCAGTGTAAGAGTGTGCGTGTAAAGTTAGACAAAGGCTGCCTTTGCACGTTCTTTCCTGTATTAATATGAGCGCACGCAATCGTAAGCGATTCGCTCTCCATGCCTGCGGATGCATCACCTCAGTTCACACGTACGCTCTTTCGAGCAGGTAAGAGTGTGCGTGTAAAGTTAGACAAAAGCCGCTTTTACACGTTCTTTCACACGGAATTAGGAGCGTGCGCAATCGTGAGCAATTTATTCTCTGTGCCTGCGGGCGTATCACCGCACTTTACGTACGCTCTTTCAAGCAGGTAAGAGTGTGCGTATAAAGTTAGACGAAAGCTGCCTTTACACGTTCTATCGCGCGTTATTATATTATATTAATAAAAGATCACGTAATAATCGTGATGACTCACCCTGCCAGCAGGCTCCGACGACGAGTGTGGTGTTGACCCCGTGCGCGGGGTGCAGCGGCCAATCGTCGATGACTTCGGGTCCAGCATCACCGTCACCGCGGAAAGGCTCACCATCCACCACCAGCTCCACGCTCGGGAAGCGCACGTTGATCGCATAGTGATGCCATTCGTCGTCGCACACCTATATAACATTTGAATTTATCAAATATAATGTCTCAATTATTTTTGGCTATGTTGGTCTAGTAGTTCTTCCGATGGTTGCAGGTTCAATTCCACACACAATGTTAACCACAGTATTCATGAATATGATTGTTTATATCGGTGTGGGTGCTTGCTATGTATATTAAGTACTAGCTACTCGCCCCGGTTTCGCACTGGTGTATATGTATTATATATATAAACATTCCTCTTGAATCACTCTATCTATTAAAAACAAACCGATTCAAAATCCGTTGCGTAGTTTTAATTTACGCATACCGCCTCTTCAGGTTCGGTCGCTGCCACAGACGACGAACATTCGACAGGTTAAAACAGTAGGGTTGATAACACCTCCTATTGGACCCCTATTGTTAATGTGAATAGTCAATAAGGATTTATTTTTTAAATATGTCTGCCACTGACCTCTGGGATCTTCCAGCGCCACTCGGCCGGTCGGAATATGTTGAGATCTCCGTCTCCGAAGTCACGACGCAGCAGCAGGATCAGGCGGCAGTTGCGGACGAACAGAGCGTAGTGGTGGCGGTTCATTTCTGTTGAAATAATATGGACAAACATTTTATAATAGATAAACACACGTACATAAGATTGTGGTGAATTAAAACTTCTGGGTACCATATTTGTTGCCAATAAATTCAATTCGGATGAATTACTAACTTGTAATATTGAAAATAACAGCATCAATTCAGCTCGGATCAATTACTGACTTGTAATATTGAAAATATCAGCGCATCAATTCAGCTCCGATGAATTACTAATTTGTAATATTGAAAATATCAGCGCATCAATTCAGCTCCGATGAATTACTGACTTGTAATATTGAAAATATCAGCATCAATTCAGCTCCGATGAATTACTGACTTGTAATATTGAAAATATCAACATCAATTCAGCTCCGATGAATTACTGACTTGTAATATTGAAAATATCAACATCAATTCAGCTCCGATGAATTACTGACTTGTAATATTGAAAATGTCAGCATCAATTCAGCTCCGATGAATTACTGACTTGTAATATTGAAAATATCAGCATCAATTCAGCTCCGATGAATTACTGACTTGTAATATTGAAAATATCAGCATCAATTCAGCTCGGATCAATTACTGACTTGTAATATTGAAAATATCAGCATCAATTCAGCTCGCATGAATTACGGACTTGTAATATTGAAAATATCAGCATGAATTCAGCTCCGATGAATTACTGACTTGTAATATTGTAAATATCAGCATCAATTCAGCTCCGATGAATTACTGACTTGTAATATTGTAAATATCAGCATCAATTCAGCTCCGATGAATTACTGACTTGTAATATTAAAAATGTCACCATCAATTCAGCTCCGATGAATTACTGACTTGTAATATTGAAAATATCAACATCAATTCAGCTCTGATGAAATACTGACTTGAAATATTGAAAATGTCAGCATCAATTCAGCGGGATTCAATTTCTAATGCGGGAGGTGAGAGAGGGAGTTGCTATTAATGGGGATTTTTATATTACGACGGTGGCAAACAAGCATACGGTCCATCTGATGGTGATCATGGACGACCTGTGGTCAGGTCTCAGGCGTTCATGGTCACCTGAGATCTGACCACCATTTCTTTAATCTATTGTTATAGTTTTCAATATATCTGTTTATAATGTTGGTGTAATAAAAAAAAAATAGTGAAATCACCTTCCAGCAACGGTATTTCCGAACGGATATGATAATTAAAACCTTCAAGAAAAGAGCTTATTCCTACTTAAAAGTCGGCAATGCACTTGCAATTCCCTTGGTGAGGCGGGTGTTCATGGGCGGCAGTAATCACTTACCATCAGGTGAGCCGCATGCTCGTTTGTGTCCTATATAAAAAAAGTACAAAGCAGTGCTACTGACTGTGGTCATCAGCGAGACATAGGATGTGCTCCTTGCGATGCTTGTCGTGGTCCGGGGGCGGAGCGTGCCGCATCCAGGTGGAGATGGAGAAGGTGCCGGTGAGCTGGTGCGGTACCAGCGTCTCCGGGACCACGGCTGCCGTCGTCTCGCCGTCGAACTCGAACACCTGCTCCCCGTCGCGGCCTGCCCGCACAACAACCAAACCGTAACGAACTATTCACTAAATTACTATCGTATGTACACAATTCTCGGTTTGACCGATTTTTATTAAATTTTATATGCATATTCAGCAGGTCTGAGACGATTCTCAGACATACTGAATATGCACTTAGGGGTATGCAACAGAGATACTCGATATTATTATGTATGTTTGGAAAACTATTCTGCTACCAAAATGTTAGGGAAAGTACTATGTATATATATAGGGAAAAACGTCTGTCTCGTACCTGTATGGTTCTGCGGATTTCTTGGGCTTCAGGGTCTCGAAGGTATCTTCGCTAGCTTTCCAGTTTCACAGTAGCTTTAACACAGTTCTAATTTATTTTAATTCACAACACAATGCGCGCGCGCGTCAAGGCCGCTGTACGGTCAGTTCAGTACTGTAGGTAAGGGAGGGGAACAGAAACCGCGGGAACACAAACTAACGGACTCTAATATAAAATCTGTGCTTACGATGGTACAGGGTAGATTTTGAACATATATATTATATTTCTTTTATTACATACAAAATCTCATTTAGACTGAACAGTATTGTTACATTACCAGAGTCGGGTTTCAGCGATTTGATCCATTCGTTGCCGGCTCCGGGGCTGGGCAGCAGGTCCACAGTCTTAGGGTCAAGTCCTGAGATAAACAACAATTATTTAGTAAAACATAGTAAAACCATTTGGGATTAAAGTTTTAAAATCGACTTTAAACTTTTAACATTAAAGTCGATTTATAATTTGGGTGTCGGGGCATGTAAGAGAGCGCGTATTGTTTTAACGTAGTGATTACTTTCTCAGTGGCCAGTACTGGCAGCGTGACGGCGGCCTGGATGCGCGTGACGCCCTGACAGCGCGCGTCCGACGTGACGCCTCCGTCACGACACTCGTACGTACCGCAGAGCGTGCGCTGGTGGTGCAGCGCGTACGTGTCGCGGTCGCAGCCGGTGGCGGCGCGCGCTGCTCGCAGCGTGACGGCGGCCTGGATGCGCGTGACGCCCGGACAGCGCGCGTCCGACGTGACGCCTCCGTCACGACACTCGTACGTACCGCAGAGCGTGCGCTGGTGGTGCAGCGCGTACGTGTCGCGGTCGCAGCCGGTGGCGGCGCGCGCTGCTCGCAGCGTGACGGCGGCCTGGATGCGCGTGACGCCCGGACAGCGCGCGTCCGACGTGACGCCTCCGTCACGACACTCGTACGTACCGCAGAGCGTGCGCTGGTGGTGCAGCGCGTACGTGTCGCGGTCGCAGCCGGTGGCGGCGCGCGCTGCTCGCAGCGTGACGGCGGCCTGGATGCGCGTGACGCCCGGACAGCGCGCGTCCGACGTGACGCCTCCGTCACGACACTCGTACGTACCGCAGAGCGTGCGCTGGTGGTGCAGCGCGTACGTGTCGCGGTCGCAGCCGGTGGCGGCGCGCGCTGCTCGCAGCGTGACGGCGGCCTGGATGCGCGTGACGCCCGGACAGCGCGCGTCCGACGTGACGCCTCCGTCACGACACTCGTACGTACCGCAGAGCGTGCGCTGGTGGTGCAGCGCGTACGTGTCGCGGTCGCAGCCGGTGGCGGCGCGCGCTGCTCGCAGCGTGACGGCGGCCTGGATGCGCGTGACGCCCGGACAGCGCGCGTCCGACGTGACGCCTCCGTCACGACACTCGTACGTACCGCAGAGCGTGCGCTGGTGGTGCAGCGCGTACGTGTCGCGGTCGCAGCCGGTGGCGGCGCGCGCTGCTCGCAGCGTGACGGCGGCCTGGATGCGCGTGACGCCCGGACAGCGCGCGTCCGACGTGACGCCTCCGTCACGACACTCGTACGTACCGCAGAGCGTGCGCTGGTGGTGCAGCGCGTACGTGTCGCGGTCGCAGCCGGTGGCGGCGCGCGCTGCTCGCAGCGTGACGGCGGCCTGGATGCGCGTGACGCCCGGACAGCGCGCGTCCGACGTGCACGCCTCCAGCCGCGCCGCGGGGAACAGCGCCAGTGGTCCGCTGCCGGGCGCGTAGTCCACGCGCTCCGCCAGACCTACATATACCGGCCAGGTAGGCAAACAATGTATGAGTGGTAGATTTGGAGGGTGAAACAACAAAAATACACAACTGTAACGACTTGGAATAGGTAATGAAACCACTATAATAGTCGTACTTTGGGACCCTTTATTCGCATTAATTTACATATTAGATATATGTACAAAATATGATAATAACGTAAATACTTGGTAATGAGACTTGGTATAAGCGCTGGAATTGCGTGCCTCACCGCTAAATCTCCCGTCCAATTCAAACGGGGATCGAAATGACGACAGCCTGAGCCGTGACTCCTAGCGGTGCCCGAGTACGCCGAGTAGCCCGACGGATACGATTTTACTCTGCACTCGCAGAGTAAAATCGTATCCGTCGATCAGGTGGGAGTTGGCCTTCAGTCACTCCATAAGTCCTTCCACAAGTTTTGAGTACCATCTGCACTCGCCCCCTATCGTCCGGTGAAGCTGTAAAAGCCAGCTGGAGCCAACAGCAATAGAGTATATAGTCCGAAAAGAAAATCGATATGTATCTAAGTATTTATATCAATTGACTAGTACCCATAACACATCCACGTAACATGGGACTTTTTTTATGGATGATTATGGAATGGTGCATCCGCCTGCGCTAATGGTTTATGCTGGCGAGCACCGATGGTGGATGATAAGAGAAGCATGAGGTCAGGTCAGTTAGTCCATCGTGACAAATTTACCAAGAATTTGTCACGACGGTTTCATGGGGGACGCGTGGACGTACGTGGACCTAGATGACGCTGTGTGAATAGTCCTGGGCTGTTATTATTAAATGCTAAGAAACCTAAACTTACCCTTCCATCCTGGCCTGCAGGGCTTGTTCACTTTGATGGTGACCATGACGGGTGCGGACTGCATCATGCCGCAGTCGTACGCCACCACCGACAGGATATGGTTGTGGGACTTCTCGTAGTCCAATGGCTCCGTGTTTCGAATAACACCTGCCAACATGATACCGTTGCATTTTGGAAATATATAGTAACTTCATATTTAAAAATCATTTATTCATATAGGACATTTTAGCCGCTTATGAACGGCAAATTTTTTATCTTGGGACTAGTAAAGTGTGAACTGTTCAGGCATATTGTTGATCTATCAACGCACAGCCCAAACCACTGGACGGATCGGGCTGAAATTTGGCATGCAGGTAGATGTTATGACGTAGGCATCCGCTAAGAAAGGATTTTGATTAATTCTACCCCCAAGGAGATAAAACAGGGGATGAAAGTTTGTGTGAAACTTTGTCAATTTTAAACCGATCGGTCTGAGACTTTGCATGGTTAAAGCTACTATGACGTAAGCGTCCCCTAAGAAAGGAATCAAAAGTAAAGCCGCAAAAACTATATCTAATTTACAACAATAATTCTTAACGCGAGCGAAGCCGCAGGCAAAAGCTAGTCTTTATATATAACAATTAAGTGTCACGTTGATTGTCCGCGATGGACTCCTAAACTACTGAAACGATTGCAAATTTGATTTGCACATTGTGTGCAATTTGTTGCAACTTGAAAGATAGGATAGCTTACATCTCAATTTATAGTCGCAATATTATTTTATTGCAAATTATTTATCTATTATTGGGTACAGCAACGCGTGGCCGAGTGTTCTAGTTATATAATAAACTAGCTGTTCCCGCGACTTCGTACACGTGAATATTTTTTATTTTTCTAAAATAAAAGTAACCTAAGTTATTAAATCTCATCCTTATTACATCAGCTACTTGTTAAAAAAGTCCTTTCAAAATCGGTCCAACCATTTCAGAGATTAGTAATTAATAATTATATTGTACAATTGCCTGTTCCTGCGACTTCGTCCGCGTGGAATTTAATTTAATTTTTCTAAAATAAAAGTAGCCTAAGTTACTCCTTATTACATCAGCTACCTGCCAAAACAAGTCCCGTCAAAATCTGTCCAGCCATTTCAGAGATTAGCCGGAACAAACAGACAGACAGACAAAAATTGTACAAATTGTTATTTTGGTGTATGTATCGTATTTATATTCATATGCATGTAGTAAAAAACGATTATTTCAATATTACAAACAGACACTCCAATTTTATTTATAAATGATTTTAAGCCACAACAACTGACCTTCATTGTCGATGGTGAACGGCTGGCTCCTATCAGTGAGTATCTCATACTTGCACACGTCACCGTATCTTGGCGTGCAGTCTTTATCAGTGGCTTCCACGCGCAGTATCTCATCATAGAGGTGATCCTCATCCACAGCCTTCACGTACGCAGCCTGACTGAACACCGGCACGAACTCATTCACGTCAGTCACTGTGATGTGGACTGGGACACTGTGGAAGAATTTTTTTTATGTTACTATGAACGATTATTGAAAAAATCTACAGTCATTCAATCTATCGCTCATTCGGAAAGATTACATCATAAGAAGAACGAGTAAGAAACGTGCGTATTGCTCTTTTAAATAATTTAGTTGTTTGACGACCTCGATGGTCGCGGGTTCGATTCCTCGCACGGCACAAACAATTGTATTCATGAGTATAATTGTTTTTATCAGTCTGGGTGTTTTCTATGTATAATATGTATTTACAAACAAAAATATCTATATATTTGTATCAGTTGTCTAGTACCCATAACACAAGCTTTAGCTAGCTTAACTTGGGTCTAGATGGCGCTGTGTGGATTGTCTTGAGATTATTATTATTAGTTGTAACTTTATTTTGTTATTTTGTGGAAGTCATTACTTAATGGATTCGTAGACTATAATATATAAGATGATATGAATAAAAGAAGAGTATGTTCAGATACGACGATAGAGAGCAGTGGAAGAGAATGACATACTGACCGACCACAAATAATGGGATAAAGGCAAGGCAATGATGAATATATACCGTTGCACATATATAGACTATAATATATAATATAATATATAAGATGATATGAATAAAAGAAGAGTATGTTCAGATACGACGATAGAGAGCAGTGGAAGGGAATGACATACTGCGCCGACCACAAATAATGGGATAAAGGCAAGGCTATGATGAATAGATACCGTTGCACATATTGAATACTAACGATATCAAGTTAACAATTTTTCTGCGACAAAGACGCAAATGTAATAATCAATTTCATACCAAATTCAATGTACAATCTCATCTTGCTTATTATAATCAGTTACGGGGTTGTGTACTGCCTCCAATTCAATATTGTCTTTGGTAACAACCCTTATACAGCTATAAATAGCCCGGCGTTGCTTTAATTCATTTCGCATGAGCGATTGTGTGAGCATCTTCAGACTGTCAAACAAATCTCTCGCGCCTCGATTACTCCTTTGTATTGCCTTCACCGCCAAGTGTTATCCTTCATGGGAATGGCTTAGTTTCATAAAGATTTTCAGGTGAGTTTACAATCATAGTTGATTTATAACTAACATATCCACATCTTATCATTGGATAGTATTAGTATAAAATAAAGTTACTGTCGCTGTCTGTCCGTCCCTATGTATACTTAATTCTTTAAAACTACGCAACGGATTTTGAAGCGGTTTTTTTCAATAGATTCAAGATGAAGGTTTATATGTATCATACATGTATCCGGGCGAAGCTGGGGCATAGTTAATATTATAAACGAGAAAGCTTGTGAGTATGGATGGATGATTGTTACTCTTTCACGCAAAATCTACTGAACTGATAGCTTATATTGAGTTCATTTGAATAAAAACTATTTCTATTTTAAGGTTTTTGAGGTGAATTTTAATAATAATAATAAATTTGATTTTCACCCGCAAAGTCAAGTCTGTCACCCCTTTAAAAGGAGTTATATAAAGTATATATATATAAAAAATAATAATATCTTTATTGAATCATAAATTAAAATATAACACGTAGTCCTAACACCCAAACTAACGCAAACTATATATTAGGAGTCAGTTTCTTCCTAAACATGTACATAAATACGCTCGACAGAATTAGGAATTTTTCAAAGAATACATATATTCTTATGGTAGATCAACATATAAGCTATGTCTCCGAAAGAGAAAAAAACAACTATTTTTCATTAATGAAATAATACAGGGCTATTGTATATGTACTTTATATTTTTCTGTTGTTGATTATCAACAGATGGCGTCAAATGTATCTGCTGACGAAATCGTCACCACTAGTAAAGACGATGATGATGATATTGAAGAAGATGATGGTGATATTGGAGATGATGACGATGATATTGAAGAAGATGATGGTGCTATTGGAGATGATGATGATGGTGATATTGAAGAAGATGATGATGTCAGTGATGAAGACTCACGTGTTGGAGTAGGATCCGTCGCAGCCGACGGCGGCGATGTCGAACTTGTAGTTGCGCCGCTTCTCGCAGTTGAGCGGGTATCGCACGCGGAGCCGGGCCTCGTTCTCATCTATCACCATTATCTGCAATAGAAACAGAATACAAATTAATATCTCAATTTACGTTATATAATAATAATAATCATATCAGGACAATTCACACAGCGCCATCTAGACCCGAGTTAACTAGCTAAAGCTTGTATTATGGGTACTAGATAACTGATAGGTACAAATACATAGATATATTTTTTTCGTCAAAAATAACCTTGGACAATTAACACAGCGCCATCTAGTCCCACGGTAAGTAGAGCTTGTGTTATGGGTACTAGACAACTCACATAAATACTCAGATACTTTTTTTTCGAAATACATACATATTATACATAAAAACACCGAAACCGATACAAACAATTATACTCATGAATACAAATGTGTGCCGTGCGAGGAATCGAACCCGCGACCATTGGAAGTAAGGCACCGAAGCCATCTTTCTTCTACTCATCTCAAAATAATTCCGAACTGACGGTAGATTTCACATATCCAAAGAGTCTGTAATAGAATAAAGCTATTTTGGATGTGAATTTGAATTTGAAACAAACAATAAATGATTTCATTTGAATAAAGTTTACGTTCACACGTGTCAACAATAGAAAATAAATTTATTTCTGTATGCTCCTTAATCTCTCACTTGACTGAAATTTTTCAGTATACCAGCGTGGAATATCTTTCACGATTCAATGATCGGCTGCCTATCGGCGCCCAGCATCCCTTTGTTCCCGTATTGGGAGATCGCTGTAGCCGACCGTGAATACGATTCCTTTATCGGAACATACTGGGCTTACAAAGACTTTGGATGTCGATATAACAATGGTTTTTATAGCTGTGTTGTTGAAATTTGTTGAAGCAGTTTAATTTTGACATGGGATCGGTTTCTTTATTAATTATATTGATTTACTACTTCAGTTTCTCGGTGGTTTACCGGTCAAGCACACCGATGGTCGCGGGTTAGATTCCTCGCACGGCACAACATTTGTATTCATGAGTATGATTGTTTGTATCAGTCTGGGTTTTCTATGTATAATATGTATGTATTTACAAAAAAAATCTATGTATATGTATCAGTTATCTAGTACCCATAACACAAGCTCTAGCTAGCTTAACTTGAGTCTAGATGGCGCTGTGTGAATTGTCCTAAGATTATTATTATTATTATTATAGTTTCTAGAATAATCTACATAATTGACTTATAGGGTTTCTTTTTATTAATTTCTAGAATACTCTAGAATGATTGACTTAAGCTATGTATTTATAATAATAATAATAATCCAGGACAATTCACACAGTGCCATTTAATCTCAAGATAAGTAGAGCCTGTGTTATGGGTACTAGACAACCGATACAATCACATTATATTTATTTTATGTATAGATATCCTATATAGAAAACACCCAGAGCGATACAAAAAAATCATAGTCATGAATGATTGTATCGTCCGAGATATCGAGAAGTTAGAATAGAATAGAAATATTCTTTACTCAAAAATAAAATTATACAAGCACTTTTGAATAGTAAAATCTCTTTGATCTCCCATTTATTCCAAACGCAGACTCATCACAAACACAAAAATAACAAACAGGAAGCGTGTTGCTCTTTTAAAAAAATATTGTTCGGAATTTCATTTTTAAGAATTTGCACGTCTCAATGCAGGCAGAATACATTATATTTAATACTAACTGTAGCCGCGGCTTCGTCCGCGTGGAATTTAACTTTATTTTCTAAAATAAAAGTTACACCTTATCACATCCGCTACCTACCAATAAAAGTCCTGTCAAAATCGGTCCAGCCATTTCAGAGATTAGCACAGACAGAAGGAACACACAGCTGTCTGTGTGTTCCTTGACAGACAGACAAAAATTGTAAAAAATGTTATTTTATGTACCCTATTTATATTCATATGCATGTAATAAAAAACGGTTATTTCAATATTACAAACAGACACTCTAATTTTATTTATATGTACAGATTGTTTACACCTATAAGAATATATTCTGCAAATAAATCATTTGATTTGATTTTAAATGTTGTGTGAATACTAACTATTTCAGACATAGATACATTGAACGACGACTGAGCAATATCCGGTCTAAAATAGCTGATAGCAAATACACATTGCATTCTGTACTACGAGCGAAATAAGTGCGGTTACTTTCCAAGAATGCACTGTGAACCGGAAACAGCGGAAATTCGTGGCTCGATAAAAATAAATGTGGCAAACGGTGGCGCCAGACTACGAACAAGACTCTTGTGCCATTATCTATGCATTCAATAGTTAAATATATACACAAACTAGCTGTTCCCGCGACTTCGTCCGCGTGGAATTTAACGTTATTTTTCTAAAATAATAGTAGCCTAAAGAACTAAAAATTATTTTGTTCGTCTTAATTTATTCGTTCCATTAGGTACTGATAGGTTCAAACTAATACATTTACATCCTGCGTCATCCCCTATTTTATCCCCTTAGAGGTGGAATTTATCAAAATCCTTTCTTAGAACGGGATTTCAGTTCAATTAGACGTCTAAGATAGTAGCTATTTTATGCATGCAAAGTAGCTTTATGCATGACTCAGCCCGATCGGTTTAAAATTGACAAAGTTTCATACAAACTTTCATCCCCTATTTTATTCCCTTGGGGGTAGAATTAATCAAAATCCTTTCTTACGGATGCCTACGTTATAACATCTACTTGCATGCCAAATTTCAGCCCGACCCGTCCAGTGGTTTGGGCTGTGCGTTGATAGATCACTATTCTACACCCAAATAATAGGTGTTGAAAGTTTGTATGAAACTTTGTCAACTTTAAACCGATCGGGCTGAGACTTTGCATGTATAAAGCTACTATAACGTAGGCATCGCAAAGAAAGGATTTTGATAAATTCCACCCTTAAGGGGATAAATTAACGCGATCGAAGCCGCGGGCAAAAGCTAATTAACTATATTTCACTGTCATCTTCGTATAAACAATTAAAATAGACCCATAACGAAAACTTGTCGTCTATTGAAGCTGTTAAAAGCTAACACAAAGCCACTTTGGGATAAACGGACACAAAATGGATCGCCATCGAACAAGTTCCAAACTTGAACTGAGCTTCAACTTTAAGTCACTATTTGAGTTATATTTTTAACGGGAACCGTTTCAACTGTTCGTTTGCACTTGTACAGGAAAGGCTTCGAGTTGGTACGGATAATGCTGTACTCAAATTCCCGGAAAGGAAATTCAAATGTCTTATAAAATATTTTCTTTATAAAAAAGCTTATTATAAAATTGAAGAATTTATAAATGATAATAACGTTATTGTAGAAAATATCTAACCTAAAATTCATAGCGACATGACAATATTATTTTATTGAACAGAGATTACGTGCGTAGCGGTTTCTAAGCTGATTGTCGCATGCCTAATCCTTGTTAATGTAAATATAATTAAAACAATATTTATATAAAAGAGCAACACACAAGTTTCTTGCTCATTCTTCTTGTGATGACAACATTGAATTTGTCTTACTAGACATTATTAAATGCAATTATTATTTTGATGTATCTAGGTATACTATTTACCATCAGGTGAACGTGATCTGGCCGACGTGATCGAGACGATATCTGGGAAACGACGAGATCAAGCAAAGTGATCTGGGACATTATTAAATGCAATTATTATTTTGATGTATCTAGGTATACTATTTACCATCAGGTGAACTTATTTATAACAAGCTGTATCCGCGACTTAGTCCGCTTGGAATTTATGTTTAGTTTCTAAAACAAAAGATTTTTTCTAAAATAAAAGTAGCCTAAGTTACTCCTTATTACATCAGCTACTAACCAAATCCCGCCAAAATCGGTTCAGTCCTTTCAGAGATTAGCAAACAGACAGACAGACAGACAAAAATTGTAAAAAATGCTATTTTGTTATATGTACCGTATTTATATTCATAAGCATGTAGTAAAAAACGGTTACTTCAATATTACAAACAGACACTCCAATTTTAATTACATGCATAGATTCTAGTTACACAATATATTCTATATATAGATTCTAGTTATAGGTAACAATGGAGAGATAATAATAATGACAAATCGTTAAATAATCTCTAAAAATCCCACTAAAATTTTTTATATAATATTTTATTTGTACAAATGAGATTAAAGTCAGCAGACGCCGCGGGGGTGCCACGGGGGTGCCGCAGGGGTGCGTCTGACGTACGTTTGTAGCCGTCTTGTTAAAGTAAATGTTTCGACGACCCCTGACTGCTGTTATAAAGCGATAACAACAATACGTGTCTTCAATGCGAACAGGTTAATAACGAAACGCACGAAATTCGTACTGTTTCTGATATTACAATGTGCATAGCAAAGCCTATTACTCACTAAACGATTATTTGAATGACGAGCGTGCATGGCAATAGTTTTCATGTTCGGGATTTTCATTTAATGTTAGACATAGACACCTATATAAATACCTATACATTGTAAATAAACTGGCATAAAAAAAAAGTTATTCAATTGAGTTTTTTGCCAGTTCTTCTCAATTGGATATATAATTATATATACCGAAATGGACGGTAGGAAATAAAAATATATAAGGTAAAAACTATGTAAATAAATGATTTTTGAATTTGTATATGGTCCTTAAAATAACCGTTTTCTACTACATGCATATGAAATACGGTACATATACCAAAATAACATTTTTTATAATTTTTATCTGTCTGTCTGTCGGTCCATTTGTTCTGGCTAATCTCTAAAATGGCTGGACCGATATTGACGGGACTTTTTTTGGTAGGTAGCTGATGTAATAAGAAGTCACTTAGGCTACTTTTATTATAGAAAAATAAATTCCACGCGGACAAACTCGGGGGAACAGCTGGTATAAAATAATGATTAAACAACCAACCAACCAACATACATATATAAATATCAACTATCTATTGTAAACAGCACATTTAAATCAAATGTGTAAAATAATGAGTGACATTGCAACTTCTGATATTAGGAACGTGCGCACGACACGTCCGTTCCGTTCGCCGGCTGC